AAGAGGCAAGGTTGATTCACAAATATATTTCAACAATTATGCAGGAAAGAAGAAAAAAAAGGCTATAACCAGATGTTGTCTGTTGTAAATATATAATGGAAAATTTCTAGAATAAAAAAAAAAACTAAAAAATTGGTTTTGAACTTCATAGTTAATATAAAACCATTAAAAAAATATTGAACAATAAATAATAAATTCATGTATAAGTTTATAAATCTTCTTACTTCATTTTCATCCATCAGAAGATTGGCAGTTTTGAGGTCCCTGTGGATTATATTATTTTGGTGCAAATAGTTCATTCCCTTGGAAACATCAATTGCCACTTTGAGTAGAGATGGCAACTTAAAAACTCCTTTTTGTTTATGTATATAGTCATATATGCTTCCTCTGGCCATGAACTCTGTGGTAAAAGACAAATAGCTGTAAAAATGACTATCAGATGATGAAAACACAACGCATTCTACAATTCAGAATTGGGAATACGGGTCTGGCATCATGGACACTAAACAGGTAGGCCTCTTCTCAATCTCAGATTTGGTATTCCGGAGTCAATATTGCTCTTTTCTAGCTAAATAATTTAAAATTCTATCAGGTCAAGATTAAAAGGAGCAGCATATAAAATGCTAATAAATGAAAGCCAAAATTTCAAAATTTTTAAACATAAATAAAAACCGTAAAATATATGAAAAGTGTATCTGCAAAAGTCACTAGAATTTACCAGTCACAATGCACAGCTTTGGAGGCCTTGTACATGCACCTATGAACTGAACAACATTCTTATGCCGAATTTTCCTGCAAATCAAGTATAAGAATCAAGATAGGAAAAATAATTTCATTTGAAAAATCAAGAGAAATATACAAAATGAAAAATGATGAATGAAGGTTTCTTTCCATAAGAAGCATCTAATCAAACAAAAAGGAAAATCAGAAACCACAACAACTCTTGGGTGGGAAAACAACATTTCCTCTCATAACTATGACTATGAGCACATACTCTAACAAACCTCATTATAAAAACCTCCTGAGAAAATTCTCTCAGCATTTCTGTGGTAACAAGCTCTGACTTTAGGATTTTTATTGCAACTTCCTGACTGCAATATGTGCCTCTGTACCTGTAGAAGTTAAAGAGATGACTTCACGATTTAGGGGACAAATAAAAAATAAATAAAAGGATGGAGAATGATGAGACTTACAGATCACTGTTTGATCCAGAACCAACTTTGTTTTCAATTTTCAGCTGCCTGGTATCAATTTCCCATACATCAGTTCCATCAGAAGGGATTTCTATGCAGCCAGGTAAGGATACAATCTGTTCTTTGATGTGTTCACTCACAGTCACAGCAGGGATTGGACTTTGATTTGAACATTGCTCCTGCAGAGTAGTTAAAAGCCATCAACTAAGAACTGTAAAATAGAAAAATGATCAGCAGAGCAGAATTCAGCTTAACTGCCACTCATATGGCATGATACAAATTAAGATGTGAATAGCATGAGATACTCAGGCATATTCATTCATGAAAAGACAAAGTAGAAAATGTAGAATGCAAAATGAGTGATGTGGAGAAACACTACCTTAGACTTTAAAATTTCCTTTTGCAGAGCAATTTTTAGCTCCTCGGTTTCCTAATACATTTTCAACAAAGCATGTCAGGTACCAAGGCAACAAATTTTAGTCAGAGATATGCATGTAATACAAGAAGATACCTCATAAGGCCAACCATCAACAACAAAGACATCCAAAGAGAACCCATCAGCAGTGGAAAAGACATGAGCTTCTTGAATGTTCAATCCAACCTCGGCAAGTAAGGAAGTTAACTGTCAAATGATCACAAATACATGTCAACAACTGCAAGTTGGGGATTGGCAGATAGAGATTGGGAAACATCCCACATGTTGCCCCATTCTTTATAATGTAATGGCATGCCAATGTTAACCTGAAATTTTTTGAGAATACATGATTACATGTTAAACTAATGAAGAGAAAGCATTCAATTACCTGATTGAGGAGCTTAGGCTTATCAACTGTTGAAAAGGTGATCTCATGCATTGGGCTACATCATTGCAAAACAGAGAGAATAAGATTCTGCAGCTATTAATATCACTAGCCTTAATCAGTCCATTAAAAAGATAATAAAAATAACATTGAACTCTTCATTTGCTACTGAAGATATCATGGAGATAAGAAATCATATTTTTTTAGCATAAACCAAGTAAAGAGTCACAACCTTCGTCGTCCATATGCTGTTAAACACAACTAGGCATGACCTGGGTTTGTATTAATTCAAAAGATCATTATGGTTCAGCTCATTTGCTCAAGCTGCAACAAAGCTCATGGTTAGGCTTATTTATGATTTAAGCCTGAGCCAGAGAAGATATGAGCAGGAAAGAACTTACTAAATGGATGAATCAGACTAATAATGAATCCAATCAATACATTAGAAGATGCTATTTCAAACACTCAAGTTTAATACACATGTCATGTTCACCAAATGCTTTAAAATATAACAAAATAAAAACATTATAGAACATATACTGACAGAGATGGGGCTAATCTGTCAATATTCTTACCAAAAAGGTTGTGATATTGGATTCGCGGTACTGTCTCCATCTTCAGGATGATATCTATTTGCTTGAAGAGCAAGGGCTTCAAGATTAGGTGATGAACCAAAGGTAGGTGGTGGATGCATGCTGACCAGAGAGAGGAGAGAAGGAATCAAATGGAGAAATGAAAATCACGTGTAAATGTACATCTAGAATGAAAAGGAACAAGACCCCATAGATCCTTATCCAAAGAAAAAAATAAGGAACAAGATGAATCCTGATGATGGTTGAAGGATTAAGGATATGATTAATGGTAATGAATCCTACCCGCGTCTGTTTGAGTAATAAGAGCTTTGCGCTTCTTCTTCAGTTGAGGAATCTAAATGGACAGAGTCAACAGAATGTCCATTGGAGACAGGATAAACCTACACGAGTTAATAGATTACAGAAGGGCATTTTTCAATCATTATTCCAGACTATCATGATTCATTCTCACCAGAAGGAACATTGAACCCAAAATTCAACAACAAAGAAAACTAAGATGGGCTGCCAGTTAGCAAACAATCTAATATTGGACAAGTAATAGAATATAATCAAAAGTGATAGTTTTCCTTTATTAACCTCATATAACTAAGATAAGAGATGGGGGAATTAAAAAAACACAGAGTAACAAGAGTTGAAGGAATGTCAAGTAACAGTGCATGGCAGAACTTATATGCATCTCGTGCCACAAAGAAGTCATACCCTCTTAAAATGACCTTCAAAACAGTAAAAATGTTTAAAATGGATGAGAATCTCCGTGATGAATTTAAGAATACATGTTTTCAGATGCAGCTCACTACTTCAAAAGTAATTCCCAGTAGAGTGTGATTGCCACAGCAGTCACATGGATTGGCAGCCAAAACTTAGGCTTATTACGGAGCAGTGACCACTGACCAGAACATGATCTATCACAAAAACAAGATTCTACTTGAAAAGTAGAAAATCAACTCCAAATTCACGAAATAACTAAAGTCCGAAGGTTGTCTCCCTAATAACATAACACTACAACTTTTTTATTTTTTTAGTTCCAAAAGAGGTATTAAGATAAGTAACAACTATCAAACTCAAGTAGGTTCTACAATAAATAAATATTCCATTGAAGTCAGATCAGAACGTCAAACATTTTCACCTGCACAAGACGAACATCAAATGCAGGTTGATTAGCAGGGTCTTCTGCCAAATGCAATAATCGCTTGTGCATTAGCACATCTTCTGCTCGATCCACATTCACATCCAATGTATACCTTCGGGTAATAACAAGAGTCAAATGAACAGTAAGGGAGAGACAAAGGAAACCAGAACAGATATTAAACAAAATGAACAAAGGTTATTATCCAAACTCCAAAGTTCAAGCAATGATTACACGCTCCCCAAAACTCAATTAGCAGAATATAATGCGTAATTGGTAAAACAGTAAAAGTGAAGGACAACGAAAAAAAATAAAAAGAGACCACAAGATCAACAAAAATCTGAGACTGATACGGCTGTTTGGCTGATTCGATTTGCTACCTATTTTTCTCTCCCCTGTCTACTAATAACAGATAAAAAAGAAAAGAGAGGTGTAGACTCTGAATCTTAAACCAAACTGCAAGATTCGAGAATCTTCATTAAACTTTTCCTCCCGTTTCTCAGTAACCAAACAGGCAATTTCGAAAGTAAAAGCAGTTGGTTAAACCAACGTTAAGCAATCAAATAAAGCGAATACCGAGCCGGTAGTCGATTGAAATGAAGCCATAGCTGATCATCAAAACCAGGAAGATTTGCTTCTTCATAATTTAACTCCTGGATTCGCCTAAGCACCTCATGATAAACCTCTAGTTTTTGCCTGTGCCCAGGATTGGTCTGCGCAATCGAGTCCGTAGCTCTACTTCCGCAACTCTCAGTATCCTCCTCAATCGCCATGGGAGAGCAAAACAAACAGCACCGAAGCAAAGGAACGAATCAGAGGTAGATTTGCAGAGTACGTATGCCTCGAGATTCGATACCGCAAAGCACGTGAAGAAGGATTCAGAACGCCATAGTCGATCAATCGAGAATACAGGTGACGGATAAAGGAGGAGGAGAGACGACAAGAACGCCAGGAAAAGGCAAGAGAGTTGTACTTCTACCAAGAAAAAAAAAAAAAAGAGAAATAGATGCTCGGGTACTGGAAGTACTGTGTACTCGCCCGGTGGTTTACACATCAGCAGGAGTCCGAGGTTGGTGGGCCAGCTAAAGTCCACGTGTCTGTATGAGGCGGGTAGAAAAAGGTAGAGATAGATAGGATGGAGGATAACGACAAAAATTGATAAGATTTATAAATGAATTAAAAAATATACTATTATTTATTACTATTTATTCTTTGGTTTAAATGGAAAAGTTTCGATTTTTTTTAGTAAAGTTTGAAATTTGAAACGTGTGAATAAAGAAATGAAATTTGAAACGTGTAAATAAAAAAATAGATATTGTGAATAGA